TTTTTTTTTTTTTTTTTTTTTTTTTTTTGAAGGATGATTTAAAAATTCAAAAAATGGACGAGTCCGGGGACCTCACACTTCAACCCGGAGTTATCCCGGCAAGGATTCGCTTTTTAGAGAACTTTGAAAGAGAAAGAGGTGGTATGATTCGGTTTGAACCACCGGTACGTTTACCAGCCGAAGAACAATACGCGGCGGGCGGCGCCAGCCGAAATGGAGGCCCGCGCTGATTCCGCTTTTGTTGGGCACAGGGCATTTCCAGCCCCGGAGAGAAGCGCCTCGGAAGTACTGGTGGTTAGAGCGAGAAACGGACTGTGATAAGAGAAACAAAGTTCAGTGCTGATGTCGGAGGGGCGACCGTGCTTCCCTTTGTTGACAAAATGCCGTCAAAATTGTGCGGTCTCTCATGTGAAGGGGAGGTTTATCCGAATGCCTTGAGGCTTGAGCATTTTTCGTAGGACGAACCGATTTCCAGCCAGGGTTCTCGACGTTACCACTTCCGGGACGCATTCATTTTTGGACACTCGCGGGGTTCCTCATATAGCCAGTTTTGCCTTTAACAATACTGTGTAAGCGCCCCGGATAAGCCATCCATCCGCCCCCCCCCCAAAAAAAAAAAAAAAAAAAAAAAAAAAAAACTATGCACCATGCAAGGTTTCTACGGAACCAATTGTTTTGCCGGTTAGACTCGCTTAGATGAAACCCCCTCAGGAAAGGAGGGGCTTTGCTCATTCACACCTAGCTCCCGAAGTATCCATGCAACAGGGCTTGCACGGCGTCCGCTTCAACCAGGGCTGAGTGGGGAAGTAGGGGTCCCCCCGCTCAGCCCGGGTGCCAGCAACCGCTGTCTCGTCAGGTCACCTAGCCGAGTTGGTGATGGTCCGGGGTGGGGTCCACATTAAGGTAGGACAGAGGCGGTTGAGTTTTTTGGCCGAAAGTGCCTTGTCCAGCCTGTGGGGCTGCAGTTTTTATTCGAGGGACGTCGGGGGCGTTTCCCCCGACCATTAATAAAGATTGTTGTTGTTAAAAAAAGCAGCACCTAATTAAGAGCACTCTTAATAAATGAGAGTGCCCGGCCTGCACAATCCAAAACTTGAAGAGTGGTCGTCACCACTCTTGACAAATGAGAGTTGGCCTGAATTCGGGACTCCCAGGTGTATTGGATGCTCTTTTTTTTTCTTTTTTCTTTTTTTGTAAGCTCCCCCCCCTCGCCCCCCCCCGAAAGCTTTTCACATTGTTTGATGAGTCCGTGTAACAGTAGGTAGTTGCTTAGGTGAAGAGACACGGCGTCTTCCACCGAATATAACATAATGCACCCTGATAATGATTGTATACAAGCTATACTTCGGGTCAGGTACAAACAAAACGAGGGTGCGTTGCGTTCGAGAGAAGATGGTAGTAGTACAATAATGGATACAGGGGCACCATTTTGTCTCCACTTCTGACGTCTGACAGTTCTCGACCCAGTCTCAATTTTTGCACCAAATCAGAACGAAACCGAAAAGAGAAGTGAGGGCCTTAGGTCCGTATATTCAACTGTTCATGGCTGTACCAAGCTACCGTCTTCACCTGGATAGAACGCCCGGTCATTATTGCTGTATTTGGCACAACTTCCAGCTCAGATACGGCGATAAGGACCGGGCATTCTATTTGGGCCACAGCTCCACACAGAAATCAGCGGGGGGGGAGAAAAAAATACACCTCCCACACAGAAAACAGCGGGAAAAAAAAAAATACTCCGGATCCCCTCGGCTTACTCCTGGGCCACAGCTCCACTAGCAAGGTATATTTATTGACTGTAGCGCATGTGTCGGCGGCATGTGTGATGCTGTTTTTTTTTTTGTTTTTTTTTTTTTGTTTTTTTTTTTTTGGAAAGCCATTCGGGATGCTCCATCTATTGGTGGGGAGCGTCACCTGCTGGAAACCGGGTCCAGCGTCCCTTAGAAACAGATTTACAATCTCTGGGGCCATAGACATTGCGTTTTTACCTTGGGGTTGACTGATCCCTAAGGGCTGCACATTGATACCCTCCCCTTCCTACAACCCCTCATATAAATGGCCTAGCCCTGTTCCCAGTCGGTCTGCTCACACTGTTGGTAGCCTGATACCCCTCCCTTCGCCTCGACCGTTCCCTGGGAACTGCAGCCCATCCCTATTCCAAACTTTAACACGCCAACCTAGAAAATTGAACTTGTGATGCCAACAAAAGAAAAGTCAGTCGGGGGGGCCGCCTCTCCTGGCGGGGTAGGCCGCCTCTGAAATCTTGCTCGCTCCAGCACCAGGACTTCCCCCCTTTCCCTAAGGATATCGTACTCTTCATTCATTATCCAGGACGTCTTTCTCTGTCCATGTCAAGTGAGGTTTGGCAACCATGTGTGATCGTGTGCTACATCCCTCTTGCAGCAGTAAACCAAGATTCCGCTCCTCCCGTTCAGCCTTGAGACGTGATGTTCCGTTGCTGCTGTCATAACCGCCCAGTTGCACACCCATCCTGCCTGCCAGTGGGGGGGGAAAAGAGAGGGGGGGGGGGGGGGGGTGTAGCGTCGGGGAGGGTTACGGGAACTGCAGATGCAGAGGTGGGATAAGCAAGAAGGGCAGAAGACATGCGGGGGGACTTGTCGAGGCTGCATTTCTTGTGTGTGGCTGTGTAGGTGTCCGTGTTGAGTGAGGTTTTGCCACCATGTGCAATCGTGTGCTACATCCCTCTTGCAGCAGTGGACCAAGATTCCGGTCCTCCTGTTCAGACTTGAGAAGTGATGTTCTGTTGCTGCTGTCATAGACACCCCGTTGCACACCCATATTGCCAGCAGTGAACCAAGATTCCGCTCCCCGTTACACACCCATACTGCCTGCCAGTGGGGTGTCGTGGATGCATTTCTTGTGTGGCTGTGTAGGCATCGTGCGCCATATGGAGGTGCAGCTAATGGTTAGGGACGACCGCAGGAGCTTGTGGGATTGGCAGGAATGGTTGGGCATGGGTTCGGTAATCCATCCCAAGAACGAAGTTAGGTTGCATGTACTGCACTTGGAACTCCTCCCAGGGTCTCCTTTGCCAAAACCATTCCGAGGATCTCCACGGTTTCCATTGGATGTCCAGCTCATCATTCAGTTCACTGAATAGCTTGGAGGGGTCTTGCCACAGTACTGTATATGTGTGCAGGATGGATTCCTTAGCCTGGGCCTCTTTTTCTTCCTTATGTTCTCGTCTCATCGTCCTCCATGCATCTTGTGTTGCGGTTCTGATTACTTCCTCCAGTACCTGCTGAGCCTGTTGCAATCCAAATTGGTGGTCTTTCCATTGGAATGAGCATCTTGCTCGCCAAGCCAGCATGAGGACTTGCAGCCTTGTGTAAGTGAACAGATTGACTGCAAATGGAGACCGTTGGGCCAGCAAGTGTTGGTTCCTGCCCAGCAAAAGAAGGCCCAGGTCCCATGGAATGTGGCTGGATGTCAAGGAGTGGAAGGCGGCGTCCCACC